ACTACTGCTTCCAAGCATGAATGCCATGACATATCACTGCTACCATATCATACATTATTTTCATCACAGCCAGTACGTATGTCGTATTATCATCATTTTCATTTTATTGTCGACATTATGTTACTTGCTTCACTATAACACTACTGATACACTGAGCTGTGTGAGCACATGATTTACTATAATTTATAACAGGTCCTCTGCACATATCTTAGAGAAATGCGATATTTTACACCTTATGAGCATTTGAAGGGGCGAATGGACCTCAAATTTATTTGGTATATGTGCTGTGGATATATTGTATTGTATTACAAGATTGGTTTAGTCCATATTACAGAGGAGATGCTGTCGAAATTTCGAAAAAATATATGCAGTATATCTTTCGAGGCAATTCCTAAGTCCTCGCTTATTCTGACACATTTTCTGAGGCAGTTCGTAAGTCCTCATTTATTGGAGCGACTCATATTTTTCAAAGCAATTCGTAAATCCTCGCCTATTCGAGATCGATGCATATTTTCTAGGCAATTTGTAAGCCCTTGTTTATTGGAGCTACCCATCTTTCTGAGGCAATCTATAAGATCTCGCCTACTTGAGAGTTTAGATTTCAAGTCCGATCCGCATATAAATATTACGACTCGAACTTGGGCGCTACTGTTACGCCTATGAATTATCACATCAAATTGGGCCATCTTATTGGACCCGGACAAGGCCCATCGAAATTGGGCCCCAAAGTCGAGGCTCTAAAGAGTCCAGCCGGGGTGCCACCGAGACCCTAAGAAGTCCAGCCGAAGCGCCTGCCGAGGTACCTATTATTTTGCTCACCTCATATTGGGCTTGGACTTCGGCCCATCAACCCGTTTGACCCATTTAACTTCCATTTCTCTATATATATGGATTCACTAACACAACTGAGATATGTTCTAAATACTCTAGCCAAATCCCCCATCTTTCTACTATTGCACTCTATATACCTATCTCCGTCCGGTCGTTGACTTGACCGTTGGATTGCAAATGGTCGCCGGACCTTTTTCTCGTCCGGCCGCCCTTGCCTCTTAACGGGTGCTACATGGCAGGTTTCGAGGGGACAAAGCTAGAGTGCCTGTTGGAGCCATTTTTGGAGGTCAACAATGTGCACAAATGAAATGTCAAATCTTTTAGTACAATTAAATATAATGATCATTCATTAGATAGCATAATCTTTATGGTTCAATTCGCGCTCATTCATGAACAATAGCTCTTAAGAATGTAACGTATCCATCCATCCCATCCACTGGCTCATTGGGCCAATAAAATCTCTCTCTCTTGAATCAATTTATTTTTAGACTTGTTTTATTAATTTCTTCTGAAAAACACGAGCCAAATCATAGGCTCGTGAATGGCTCAACTCGGCCATTGAGTCCCAGGAGAAGCCTTGGAGACGAATTGAATTCGTGTATCTAAGGATCAAATTGACTCGATTCAACCCATTGCACGCCTATCTAATACGTATCTCTCAAACATGGTCATTTTGATAAATCACTGAGACGTGATTTAGCGGATGTAAAGTATAGGATCCCTCCCTACTTAATAATGATGTCCTTGGAATCACTTATTTGTTTGATTCTACTGCTGCCCACAGATTAATTTTCTCAAACTTTCACGTGATCTCATCAACCAGACCATAACCACTTTTTTGTTTTGTCTTGCTTGGTTGCTTGCTCGCTCGTATGGATGTTCTCAAGCATATACTAACTAATTAATTGATTAAATCTTAATTATAAACTGCATGAAAGTACATAATTTTCTTGTAAGTTTTGTCTGTAATCTGTTATCATTTTGGTTCTTGTTAGATAATTTAAACGCCAAATTCTTGGTTAATGGGACGAAATTGATCGACGATATTGAAGTTAATGGTATCCTGTAAAATCTGAATAGATATGAGAAGTGAAAAATACATCAAAATTTGCAGAAAAAATAAATCGTGGAATCAAAGGAAAAGAAATCATTGTGTAGAGTGCAAGAGAAGCGAAAAGTATTATATGGGGTGGATGTGGGAATAATTTGAAAACCCTTTATGGCAGTACTGCATGGGCCAATCTTGGCATGGAATTGTTATCCCATCTGAAAATCAAGACTTGAAAATTTCTTCTTCAACCACCACAAAGGTATAGATGACTAATTTATTACGTTATGGCAATTTTCGGACAATATTTCTCCTACGAAGAGTTTATATTTGATGAATTGAAAATAATGCAACGAAGGCGGTAGTCGAGAAAGTTATATATTTGAATAATTTGTTTGAGTACCAATTTTTTTTTTTTTAATCCAAATATTCTGAAATCCAAAACGATAAAATTAGGGATAATTTTTCAGTGTTCAATATTGTAGTATCATATGGCATCATATACTTAAAGGGTATCAATGCTCTCCAATATCAATAAGCCTTTAAAAAAGAAAATGCCAGGATTTTATGGTATTAAAAAATCCACCAAATTGGCCAACAAGGCAGAGATTATAGTGCATAACAAGCCAAATTTAGACAAACCCTTCGAGTTTTTTGTCCATAATTACGACTTCATCATTATCTTATGATAAAACAATTTTCTTACTATATATTTCACCTGCCACTTGGATTGGTGAAATCACTCAATTGAAGTCGGAAAAAGCCTCAAATATAGGGAATTTCTTGTCTACTTCATACAGATGTAGACGTAGCGAAACCTAATTCGTCTTTTTTGTTTTTTTCCCATCTTCCAATGATTTTATGACATGTATTGTCTGTCAAAATATTCTGCACCTACAGCATTATTGATTGAAGTCAAATAGGGTTCTTTGATAGGGTGTTATCAACTGAGGTTGTCAACCACACACGTGGGAAGGGGGTCACGCTGAATTTAAAAATCGTGGGCCTCCCTCTTGTGAGTACGCTATCAATCGGGACTGTATAACTACAATAATTCTTGTTCTTTTCTTATGTACTTGGAGATAGTCTTAAAATTAATAAATAGTATGGTTTCATTTTTTCTTGCAGATAAAACTACAACTTGAAGATGGTTCGCTGGTTCTCGTCAGCAGCACGAGACTTTGTCTGAAGTAAATAAGGGTTTTCTTAAAATTCTGGGATTTATGTTGTTTGAAACAAACCCATTGTGCGTAGTTTGTTTATTTAAGTCAATTTGCGTTGACCAGCAAATGGAAATATTTGTAAGCCTATTTTGCCTTGTGCAGAGTGATATTGTCACGGGGTTTGGGCTTTTTTGGCTCTGCTATGTTACGATCTGTGTGTCTTGTTTTTTCCAATTCACTACTTACCGTTAAAGCAATTAATTAGTAGTCCATAAATGAAACAATTAATTGACGGATAGAGACAATTGAACATTTTAAAATATTAATTGTGATAGGGTCCCATCCAATCTAATCCATAATTACATTTCTATTAGACTAGTGTTCAATAGAAGTCTACATGCTATAAGGATGACAAAGTTGGCCCATGTTTGGTTGAAATTTAAATGTTCACTTTTAAGTTTTTTTGTTTTTTTTTTTTAAAGAGTTCTAAATATGTATTTTTATTGGTAAATTTATAAATAAGTAAGTTTATTTGAATTTTTAAATCTCTACCTAAGCTAATAGAGGGGTTTGATGAAATTAATATGTTTATCAACAATAAAATGAAGTACAAGTAGGAGTGAGAAATAAACTTATTGAATAATTATAGTATAGGAACTAGGCCGTTTAAATGCATATTTAGGAAATCACTAACTCTAATATATGAGTAATGCTATTTTTCTATATTGCTAACTACGTCTAGGTGTTTATCGATATGCTGCTAGGAAACTAGTGCAGTCAAGTCCAAATGTGACCACGTCAATCTTTACTTTCGAATCTTGATTGTCCTTTGCTCTCACAAAGTAATTGGCTGTTTAGTTACATTTTGAGGATGTTAACACTGCAAGAATTTTAATTCTCTTTGCTACAAATATTCATAGTCAAGAAAGAACAAATATACATTTTATTAACCACTAGTGCAACACTATTAAAGAATCCCAATGGGCCAAAACGTGGCTTTAAATTTGGCATCATTTCATAGTCACGGAGACAAGGGTCCACATAAAAATGCCCACATGATGAATCAGTTTGCATCCTTTTCAATCATTGCTCGGTAAAACACATGAATGCAGTAATAATATTAAAAAAAAAAAAAAAAAAAAAAACCCAAAAAAAAAAAATTTTGGAATTGAAAATTTTTTTTTTTAACATGTACTGGTTCATGGCACACGTGTGCCCAACTAAAAATATAATATCGGTATTTTCCATAAAATCAATTTACAAATTTACTTTAAAAATTTTTAACTGTAACAAACTATTTTTAGGTAGACAGAACTATATTCTTAAGTCCCAAGACATAGAAGAATCAAATATATAATTTATTATTGGTGAATTAGAGGATTCGTGATTGATGAACAAGGATTGAGCCTCCATCAATAGAGATGTTAAATGGTCTGAATCGAATCACTCAACCTAAGTATAATCTAGCTTGCCCCGCACGAACTTGGTTTTGGTAGGTTATATTCTTTTACTGAAATTGCATTTTTCAATAATTATGACAAATTTGCTCAAAATGCAAGTCAACTCTAACAAATCAACAAGCGACTCACAAGACAAATTTGCTGCTTGACTGTTAGTGGGGTCTGTTGCACACCGTCTACATGCAATCCTATCGACTTAAAATAATGAATTAAAGAAGAGAAACTCACAGAGCTCCTACAAATGAGTCTCATGGAGGTCGGGCCCATGTGGCCCTCGATGTATTAAAAAATGGCTAAAAAAACGTCTATCCCATCACTGTGAGTAGTCTGTAAAACATCTATAGGTTTTCTTTCTGTACTTGAAGTTCGGTTCTAAAATAATCAAAAGTTATTTTGGGTGGTAAAAAAAAAATGGAAAAGAAAAACAATGATTTTTTCCAGGTGTTTAGCAGACAAATCATGATGATCACAATCATAATAGCAACAACTCAAAATGTGTCCCGTCAAAAGAGTAATTTAAAGTCACAATTCCTTTATTCAATCCAACCATACCTTTCTTCTCTCCAATTCCTTCAGAGTAGCAAAAAGAGAGAAGATTCTGATCTGATTCATAAAAAAAGAAAGAAGAAAAATCATTTAAATTTTGTTACCCATCATCTCTCACTTGACTTTCTCGATTTCCGCCTCGCTTTCTTCTTCATTTCAATCAATTTGTTGTACCAACTCCCTTCAAAAATGAAAAAAAAAAACCCCTTTAGACTTGGCTTGATTTCTACAAACATAATCATTTTATAAGACTTGAAACGCAAAAAGTGCAGTTGATTTTCGTGCTTCGTCAAATCCCTTTTTCATGGATCTGTCTTAAGGCTTAGGTTTTCCAGCACAGATAAGGGTTCTTGTTCAATGTTCAGTGAAGCAAAAATGACCTCTGAAAAATCCAGTTCCAAAGGCCAAGCATGGTAACTGAAATCCTACTTTTATGAATCTTTTCTAGACACAAAGTTTGGGGTTCTGATAATTTATTTCTGTTTTCTCTTGAAGGTTTTGCACTACAGGATTATCAAGTGATGTTAAAATCGAAGTAGATGACATGACTTTCCATCTGCACAAGGTCAGTTCTGGGTTTCATCTCAATATTAGTCTATGATTTAGCTATGAGTATCATTCTGTTATGATTTTGATTGTTCTGATATTCTTTCTTATCTGTATTTTCAGTTTCCACTGATGTCAAAAAGTAGAAAGCTTCACGAACTTATAACAGAACAAGAGAAGAACCCAACAAGTAGAATCACTAGAATCCAAACCGCCTCTGAATCAAAGCAGGGCAGTGAAAAGGACCATGAGGAGAAAGAAATCCATGAAGAAGACGAAGAAGAGGAGTTTCTTATCATACTCCCGGATTTTCCGGGCGGTTCTGAATCTTTCGAGACCGCCGCGAAATTCTGTTACGGTGTAAAAACAGATGTTTCTGCCTCCAACGTGGCTGCCCTCCGCTGCGCCGGAGAATACTTGGAAATGACTGAAGAGTACTCTGAAGAGAACCTCATTTCCAAGACAGAGAGGTTTCTTACTCACTCAGTACTTAAAAATATCAAAAACTGTATCAAAACTTTAACCTCCTGTGAAGGTCTTCTGCCTTTGGCAGAAAACCTAGGCATTGTCCAGAGATGTATTGATACAATTGCTTCCAAAGCTGCATCTTCAGATCCGTCATTGTTTGGATGGCCAGTGAATGACGGAGCTGGAAACAGCAAAGTTGGGGTCGAGAATGAAAGGAGAAAAGTTGCTACGAGAGGAGGAAATGGAATGGATTCATGGTTAAATGAGCTTGGACTATTGAGTTTGCCATTCTTCAAAAGATTGATTTTCGCCATGAAAGCTCTAAATCTAAGGGGGGAGATCATAGAGAGCTGTTTGATTTACTATGCCAAGAAGTACATTCCTGGTATTTCGCGTACAAGCCGGAAGCCATCGTCTTCTAATGTACCCTCAGAGAATGACCAAAGAGAGCTCCTGGAAACTGTAATTGCTAATCTACCTGTAGAGAAAAGTTCGAATTCAACTTCAAATTCGACCAGATTTTTATTCGGATTATTACGAACAGCGAATATATTGAATGCTGCAGAAGCTTGTAGGGCAGCGCTGGAGAAGAAAATTGGATCACAATTAGAGCAAGCAACTTTAGACGATCTGCTCATTCCGAGCTATTCGTATTTGAACGAAACATTATACGATGTTGATTGTGTGGAAAGAATTTTGAGATATTTTCTTGAAGATTTAGAGGACAGATCTGCAAATAGAATTGAAGGCGAAGAAAGATCCACGGCATTGATGTTAGTTGGAAAATTAATCGACGGTTACTTATCGGAAATCGCATCTGATGCTAATTTGAAGCAAGAAAAATTCTTCGATTTTGCCATTGCTTTGCCTAACCATGCCAGACTCTTCGATGACGGCCTTTATCGCGCCGTTGATGTTTATCTCAAGGTAAATTAATCGTTGAATTGGCATTATATTGAAAAAACGTGCTTCTTGTTGATAGCGGAATTTTGAATGTGCAAGTTAATTTTCTGTTCATTTACATAGGCACATCCATGGATACCAGAGGCAGATAGAGAAAAGATTTGCGGAGTTTTGGATTGCCAGAAGCTAACATTAGAGGCTTGTACTCACGCCGCCCAAAACGAGCGGCTTCCACTTAGAGCGGTGGTTCAGGTACTTTTTTTCGAACAGCTTCAGCTCCGGCACGCCATCACCGGTGGTTTGCTGGAGGCTGAAGCCGGGCTAACGGAAGCGGAAACCGGAGATGGAGAAGAAGAGGAAGGGGTTGTAGTGGCACGCGCCCAAGAGGGGGGCAGCACGTGGAGGGTGGCCGTCAGGGAGAATCAGGTGCTGCGTCTCGACATGGATAGCATGCGGACGCGGGTGAACGAATTGGAGAGGGAGTGCTCCACCATGAAGAAGGCTATTGACAAAATTGACAGAATGGATCCTAGTGATCACGTGGAGAGAGGTGGTTGGAGGACTTCTCTGACACGGAAGTTCGGGTGCAAATTCAAGACCCAAGTGTGTGACTCCCATGAGCCGGCGGTGAATGAGGCCAGAAAAGGCCGCAGCCACCGCCACCGTCCATAGACCCAAAATTTCTCCGGTATTCGTTTTTTTGTTGTGTGAATACTTCATTATGGAATTTTTTTTTCCTGGTTTTTAATTGAATATTTCATTTATGAAGCTTATTTGAGATATTTTATTTCTTTTGTTTGAGTTTGAGTAAATTTGGACACAACTATATGAACGTAATTGTGCAAAATGGATTGAACAGTCCGAGTAAACTCCCAGCTCGGATTAGAAGCACTTAATAAAAATCATAAAAGAGCTTGGACTTTGGGATTTGATTCCTATATTTGTCTAAAACTTATTTACATACTTATTCTGTTTAAGATCGATTGTGCAATTAAATCGTGAGAAATCCTTTCGAGATTATCGTCGGGTAGTGAATCGAACCTAACCTTGATCTTTCTAGGTTTGATGTACGAAATTCTTGAGCATTGGTATCGCTCAATTAACAATCCATACTCCCCGCTCATCAAAATCCAGCCAAAGCAAAGTTGATGCCTCGATTACTTAGAATGAGTAGTTAAAGCAAATGATTTGAAATTCAACTTACTTCATGGGGGTCAATAATTTGTCTATTTTATTTTAAAAAATAAAAAAATACACGCTACGACAGCACATGTCCCAACTCCCAACACAACAATTAAAAGTTCTAGACGAATATAGTCCACTATTAAGCTCCACTTCGACCATTATTCTTTTTCGTACTCATTTTCAACAATACATTCTCACAATAAAATTTTTTTTACTTAAATTCAAAATGTTTTCGTATTTTTTAACCACACATTCTTCCGAAAATTACTTTTCGAAAACTTTTTTTTTTCTAAAATATTTCTGTGAAACAGGTCTAACTGACTAACTATAGTGTTTCCTACAAGACAAATCGAAAAAAAAGGTAAAATATTATATTTGAGAAGTACAAGGCAGGGAGGAATTATCAAATGGTAAAAAAAAAAAAAAAAATGTTTTATGGGGGTGTAATATTAATGAGCATTTATTATTGGGCCCCATTACATTACATTCTATTTTTCTCTCTTATATTTTCAATCATACAATCTTCCATAAAATAATATTACACGTAAATCAAAAAAATTTCCCTCTTTTCAAACACTTATTTTTAAAAAAAATACTATTTTACCCATTTTCATTACCAAGTAATGGAAATCAAACAGGGGCTAAATGTTATTCATGTAAAAGTTTGCGAGGTAGTTCAAACTTCAAAGCGATCAGTTGGTCTCTTCTTTTTAGGAAATGAGCCCAAATGTTTTTTTAAGTTCAAAAAGCATAGCAAATGGTCCATCGTACGTATTAGTGGAGTTCTGCCTGTCTGCACATTTTTATGTACACGAAAGAATTTCATGGCTACTTCGTGTAGCCGTTATTTTGATACATTATTTTCATAAGAATGTGTTTTTAAATAGTAAATTGATAAAAATATGTAGTTAAAAAATAAGATTTTTTTTTAAATTTATATGTAATATTATTTTATTGAAAAATATGTGGTTAAAATGACGTCAAATCACCATTTAAGAATGTATTTTATTCAAAAGAATATGGATTAAACAGGGCATAGTGTCGCAACTTTTAATCAGATTTCAATTAGATAATTGTTGAAGCCCTAACTAATTATTGCATAATTATTTTGTTAACATTCACCCCTTTGTTCACATGTCCGTGAGTGTTATACGTGACATTTTTTTTTTTTTTGTCAAAATAAGTGGTAAACAAAAAATAATATGAATAAAATAAATTTGACAAAAAGATAAGATTTGACCGACAAATCCAACCATGATTTTGCAAAGATAAGATTTGACCGACAATTTAGGGTCGAAGTTTAATATTTAAGTCAAAATCCAATTTTAACGAAAATATAAAATGTCGTCAATTTTAAATAAAATTTTAATTTGGGCCAAAATTAAAATTATAGAATAAATCCATTTGAAATTCAAATCTAAATCCATTTTTAATATCTAAATCCAAAACAACTTTTGAAAACATCAATTTGACCCAAACTTAAAATTAACAGGAGGGCCCCGAAATTTGAAAATTGCACAGCAGCCCTCAGTTATAAAATTGCAAAATGACCCCTAATATCATATTTGCAGGGGGGCCCCCACAATTACATTAATTGCAGAGAAGACCCCCGTGTCCACCGATTTCTGAAAAACCCTAAACTCAAATTTTTTTTTTATTTTCGTTTACTTCTTCTGGTTTTGATGGCATCGGCATCGCCGGGCGGCGCCATTCCCCCGCGGCAGGCGGCTCTTGCCGCCACCGCAGCGTGAAAACGCTGCTGTATGAAGCAGCAGGCGCCGCTGCACG